TAGTAAATGAAAATTAGTATATTATCATTGATAAAAATAGTAAATATAAACTAAACCAAATACAATAATAATTATGAACAAAAACTCTAATTAAGATAAAATTATACCCAACATAATATAATTAAAACAAAACAAATAAGGCTAGATATGTGGATGTGGAGTCTCTAACCATGGCAACGCATCATCCAAAATATAGAGGATGTGAAATGTGAATTCCAAAAAATCAAGAATTATTATTAAATATGCAAAAATAAATGAGAGTAGGAATCAAACCCTTGTCAAATGGATATAGAGAAACAATGTGTGTTGCTTTGGCCAACTGAAGTATAAGGATGTAATGCAAGCATTCGACTAAATTTTAATATATTTGATAATAACTATAAAGAATTTGACTAAAACTTGGGGCTTATACGGTGGCACACCTCACACCCACTTAAAGTCGATCCTATGTTGTACCGATATATAAGGTATGCCAACACTTATCCTCATAGAAGAGGAATTGATGAGGCAGAAAACGATGTGTTATGTCGTAGGAATGCAAACGTTAACTTTAATACCATGTAAAATATATGTGGAATTCAAAATAATCTCTCTAAAAGAGCCTTTATGGAGATAGATGATACATCAACACATACATATACTTATTGGATTGTGTTGCATTAGTGTGTGATATGTATGATAAACTATCAATCCTCCTCAGAGAACCAAGACTCGATGAGGTAAGACAATGATGTATTAAGCCACGTTGTACATCGATATCGTTGCGAACTCTGATACCATGTAAAATAAATGGTGATAGTAGACGACGAAACGAAAGAAACACTAAAAATTTAAAAAATGAAACTCCTTATTTATTTAATAATAATAAATATTCTAAAAAGCATTTAACATTAATATATAAAAAGAAGAAGAGTAAATTACACAAATGGTCCCTATGGTTTGGGATAATTTGCAAGTTTGGTCCCTAACTTATTTTTTTAACTCGGAAGGTCCCTATTGTTTGTTATTGTTACACGATTGGTCCCTATTTTTTGTTTTTGTTACGTGTTTGGTTCCTATCTTACGTAAAAAGACAGCTATTTAAATAGGAAAAACATTGTAGGGTGGGTAAGGTAAGGTGAGGGGATGGGGTTAGGGGTGTGTTTATTTAAATAAATTAAAAAATCAAGAGAAAAATAGACTTTTTATGTAAGACAGGGACCAAACGTGTAACAAAAACAAACAGTAGGGACCTTCCGAGTTAGAAAAATAAGTTAGGGACCAAACATACAAATTACCCTAAACCATAGGGACCATTTGTGTAATTTACCCAAAGAAGAAATAAGATATATATATATATATATATATATATATATATATATATATATATATATATATATATATATATATATATATATATATATATATATATATATATATATAAAATGGACTTATGCAGACGGTAACAGCGGTAAGAGAGGGAAAGATAATAGTTAATGGACTTGTCAAACATAATGAGCATTGTTGTCAATTAAGACCAAATCCTAAAAACATGTCTACTACAAGGACTAAAAATGTCATTTACTATTTATTATTTCCAAATTGACAATTGAATGCGCTTTAAAACCAGTGGTTTTTGCCACCTGTTTTTTACGCCATACAAAGTGGGAGGCTGTTTCACTCTACTGTCTGTGTGCTTGGCTTCTCTATTTATATCCTACTTATGGTTTTTCTGTTCTTCATTAATCAATTGTGCAACAAACATACTTTCGATTCAAACAAAAAACCTACTTCGTCTAACTTTTAACCATCTGACTTCAAGATTTAATCATGAGTTTCAGAAGCAGAACATGGATGGTGGCCGGAGCTGTCGGAGTGGTGGAAGCCCTCAAAGATCAAGGCTTCGCACGATGGAACACCACCATCAGGGCAGTCCACCACCATGCGAAATCCAATCTCCGATCAATTTCTCTGATCAAGAAGTTATCATCGCCGGCAGCCATGACTTCATGCGGAAGCTTAGAAGAAAGGACGCAACAATCAGAGGATTCGTTGAGAAAAGTCATGTATTTGAGCTGTTGGGGTCCCAATTGATCAAACCCTTGCAACTGTTATTATTGATTTTAGGCTTTTAGACACCAGATTAAATGTACATGTAATTATGCATTGTGTACAACGTTTATAATGAATTGAAAATCGATTCTGATCAATGATGGTTTATGTATGAATTATGATATGATGTGATTTGTAATTTCAGTAGAAGAAATAAAGTAGTGTATATTTTGATCATCACTACGTGTTGATAAATCTTAGCTACTGATGTAGTTGTGGAGCAATAGTAAATCTAAAAACTACTAATATTACACGGATGTTGCTAAATTGATACCTTTAAACAGTTTATAAACATTTTTATTAAAAGTTAACCTATAATAAACTATTTACAATTTATTTTTTTAAAAAACAATGTAAATTTAACCATAAAAAAAACCTTAAAAATCAAAGAGGGTGTCCAAATGGAAAATTGAGGTGTCTTTTTAGCCAACCCTTTATCATATTTAGGTAGTTATACTATACATTATTAGTTACTTAAAAACCCATTCATTAAATTAGACAAAACTGCAAGATTGGTTCTTATGGTATTCAAAAAACTTTGAATGAGTTCCAAAAACTTTATGATTTTCATAAAAGATCCAAAATCAAGGTTTTTTCGTGTTTTTTATCCAAAAAAACTTGAAAAGACGATTATGCTCTAATTTAATTTAAAAATAAAAAAGAAAAGAAACCAATTATCCCCCAACAACCCCCTCCCCTCTCTCTCTCTCTCTCTCTCTCTCTCTCTCTCTCTCTTGTTTTAATACCCAGAACACAATCCGTCACTATCATCTTCTTCACAACCCAGCTCCACCCTTCTTCCTTTCTTATGCATCGGTCCTCTCCATCATCTAGTCGAGCGCCATGCTTACATATTAGATGGAAGAAAAGGAAACCCATCAATCAACACAACAACCATCATTGTTAAAAAAAATCAACCCAAACACTTTTGTCGAGCTCCACCATACACGAGAGCAGAAAAAAAAAAAAAGATAGATCAGTGGTCTAACTGCCACCAAGATCTTCGTCCTTAGATATACTGAAAAATCCAAGTTTTAAGCCCCGTTTTTGTGTTGTGGTTTTCATCTTAAAGGTTAATCTCCATATTCACATTAACTGGTGGTTTTTATTTTGGGGGTTAGCAAAATCGACGTCACCGCCATATAATTCTCATACTCCTCCATTACAACCACTAACGATCACCACCGCTGCAACCAACAGCAGCCACTATTGCTGCAATCTCATATGAGTTTTCTAACCGGCAATATAACCCATATATGATGGGTAGAAATCAGAAGTATAGAATTAATCCTTACCGATGACTTACCTAATAAAATTTGGGGGTTAAAGAGTCTTGAAGTGATTGACATTAAAGGGAATTTGGTTACTGGAGGCTTATCCATGATCGATTTCTCCAATTTAAAGAAGTTACAGGTTCTTTGACTGGAACCCTAAGATTCTTTTGACAAACAGTTTTTGGATTTTGACTTGGGTAAGATAATAGAGTAGTGTGTTGTTGAAGGGGAAAGGGGGTTTCATTGTATGTTTATGGGACCGATGGTGGGGTTCGATCAACAGGAGGCTGAACAAAGTGAGGGGTATGCCGATGGAGTTGTGGAAGATTCTTAACGATGAATATGAATGAATCTGGGTTAGGTTAGGTTAGGAGAGAGAGAGAGAGAGAGAGAGAGAGAGAGAGAGGAGGTGGTGGACCCGTCTTTCTATTTTTCTTTTCTTTTGTTTTTTTTGTTAATTATAAAACAATTAAAACAAATAAAGAAAATGTGAAAATTAAATAATAAGGACAAAATAGCCCTTTCAAATTCTCAAAGACCAAAATCAAAGAAAATTCTTGATTTTGGACATTCCATGCAAGTTGAATCCAAAGTTTTTTGCAAATCACAAGGACCAATGTAGCAGTTTTGTCATTAAATTATTTCATTAGTGGTTATACGATACAACATTTTTAATTTCTTCCAACAATTTTATCATATTTAAGTTTGGGATTGCTTATTAAAACTAACTTATATTTATCAGCCAAATAGCTTTTTTAGTTTTTGTGATCTCAAAACGGAGTTAAAAATCAAATATTTGGTTTAACTTAATTGATATAAAAGAAGATAATTTATCTTTTAATGTTTGGTAATGATGTTTATATGTATAATGATAAAATAACTTAAGGAAAACTTATTATATAAGTCACTAAACTAAAAAAAAAAACCCTTATCAAAATCTTTTATAAAATCAATAATTATTTATAAAATCTTTCTATTCAAACATTTAATACTCATTGTTACAGTTTTGTTAAAGCTAAATAACACAATAATCAATACAAATCAATAATCAGAAACACCCTAATCTTACATATAAAATAGTTAAACAGTTTAAAAACACAAAAGCTAATTATAGGTACCAAAGGTTTTCTAGTTCAGTTGCATCAAATGTTAGTTCTATCTTTTTGAAATCAAGGGCAAATATAGTGAACATAACTGAATTTAATAAATATATTAGATTTTCATTAAAAAAAAAAAGATAATTATGGTTATTTCTAAACACTACTAAATAAGTAAATAGCGTCCATTTACCCCCATATATCTCCAATTCTCCACAACTTGCCGCACGTTTGTTTATTTTAAAAGCAGCAAAAATAATAATATCTCTCTATAAAAATATTATATTTTAAAGTAATAAAGATAAAGATATGGAAGTGAAAGCTTTGAAACCATTGGCTTTTGCCTCCTGTTTTTAATGACCCCATGAAACCTGGGAGGGTGAGAAGCTGTTTGACTCTCTTGTCTGTGTGCTTGTCTAACTCTATTTATATTCTACTTCTAGTTTTTCCATTTTTCATCAATCACTTGTGCAACAAACATACTTCCCATTCAAACGAAACCAATTTCCTCTAATTAAACCATCTTCAACATTTAACCATGAGTTTCAGAAGCAGAGCATGGATGGTGGCCGGAGCTGTCGGAGTGGTGGAAGCCCTCAAAGATCAAGGCTTTGCACGATGGAACACCACCATCAGGACCATCCAGCACCACGCTAAGTCCAATCTCCGATCAATCGCCCAGGCCAAAATCTTGACTTCGCCGGCGGCCATGGCTTCTAGCAAAGACATGGAAGAGAAGGCAAAACAATCAGAAGAATCATTGAGAAAAGTAATGTACTTGAGCTGTTGGGGTCCTAATTAATCATTCATTTGGTACATGATGCGAGAAAGGTTATACATCGAGATTCTGGATCTAGATTCAAAGTGTCTGGAGATTTTTCAAGCAAACCAGTCGATGAAGGGTTTAGTCGGTGGAATTGCACAAAAAAGAGCACCCACCACCACGAGATCGAGGTTCAAACTTGGGCTAAATTCGAGTCGACATCCCCATTTGTTTGATGAGTTCGAGTTTGTATTAGTTAACATCAAAACTCTGATAGAAAGGTGGATAGAAATATATTGTTGAGATATGCTTTTGATGTAAACACTTACCCTCTATTTTAGTAAAAAGGTTACTCATAAACATTGAAGAAAAAGGTTAAAACCGCATTATCAGCTACATCGATATCAACCCACTTGTCTTTAAAGGGACAGATGTAGATTGCAGTGATTCTATACCCTATAAAAAAATTACTAGGTATTCTACGTGGCCCCAATACATGAAATTCAAGAAGCCTGTTGGCAGCTTATTGGTCGGCATCGATCATGACTCATCCCCAGATTCATCACTCCAAGAAGGCCACATGAATGCATCTAGCTATGGTCATGTGCTGCTCCCTCAAAACCACCATATTTCAACCCCCAAACCACACCCCAACTCTATAAATAAACAAGTCTTCCCTCATCTCCTCATTTCATCAGAAAATCGCAACACTACGAGTCTACTACTCATAACCAGAATCCATAGTTTCTCGCTCACAAAATGACTTCTCTAAACCGTGTATGGATGGCCACCGGCGTAGCTGTTGCAAATGGACATACAGATCAAGGCTACAAACTTAAGTCCCTCCTCCTCAACTCCTTCCAACATGGCAAGAAGGTCTTCACCTTCGATTTACGTCCATTTTCCTGCCTTCTACGATCAGACGTCATCAGTGTCGGAGACAAGAAGACAACACAGTCCGATGAGTCTCTCCGGCAAGTCATGTACTTCAATTGCTGGGGCCAAAGCTGAGGATTGGTTTGTGTACTGTGATTGGGAGGCTTTCTCGACGGATGAGCAATCGATGATGCGAGTTTACTCTTGCTTTCTGGATTTGGATTGAGTCGTAAAATGGATCATTTCCTAAGCGACTTAACTCCTGGTTTTGTAAATATCATTGGCTCTTGTTAGCAAGATAATGTAAAAATAATTAAGTAAATGCTAATTTTCTTCTGGAACTTGATATTGTTGTCTTTGCTTATTGATTTTTACGATTGAACAGATTAAATCAAATTCTAAAAATTAATATAGTTACTAAAACAAAAGGATATATAATAAAAAAAAGTTAAATATCGTCCTATATTTCAATCTATCTGTTAAGACACTTCATAAATTTTATACATTTATTAAAAGCCAACTTATAAATTTAACATATTTATAAAATCCAACTCATTGTTAACTACTTATAATTATCTTTTTTCAAAAAACAATATAATTTCAAACAAATAAATTATATATTTAAAAAAAATATCAAAATCAACCAAAAATGAAAATTTCACCGAGACAATTATTTCAACTGAATTATCGTCATTATAAACAATATAATCTCAACCACTAAAAATACATTAAAAATCAACCGAAAATTTGACCGAAACAATTATTTCAACTGAATTAACGTCATTATAGGATAAATTTTTTAATCGAAAAATTGAACTGGAACTGGAATCGATTAGAACAATTAATGATATTCGGTTCGGTTACCGTCCAATTGATTTTCAGTTATTTCAATTTTAGTCTTTCACTTATTTCAGTTTTAGTCTAGTTCTGGACCATTTTACATCCATAGTTCCTAAGCCTACACTTGTTTTTGGGCACCAAACCTCGTTCTATATTTTTTGGATGCTTAGTTACGTCGGATAAGAAATGCTTTGGCCACATGGTATGGAACAATTTTTGACACGTAATAGGTGACGTGGAGGGGGGTATTTACGTGCTTGCGGACAGAATTGAGAAAACTCTAGTTTTTTTACAAAAAAATAAAATAAAATATGAGTCAACAGAAAATTTTAAACATTAAGCCGCAACCAAATATCAACCCGAAAAAATTAGCTGCGTTTATGAAAATCCAACAAGAAGTTCGGGAAAAGCATGGATTTTAGGTTTTAACGTTTTTAATATTTATATTGAATTTCTATGGTTTTTAGTTATTTAGGTTTCAAGTTTTATTTTTTATGGTTATTCGGAATCTAGATTTGAAATTTTATGTTTTATGTTTTTTATGTAATGTGAAATATCTAATTATGCTATTGATTTAGTTTTTTATTTTAATTTTAATCTAAATATATAAAAAAAACAAAAAAAAACATTATATAGTGATAACCATTTCCAAAGCTAACGAATGTGTGGTGAACATGTAGTGGAGGTTATGTGTCAAATACGTGACATCATTTTTCATGTAAATACATTGTGACCATACCCCATGACCTTCTTCCCCTTTAATGCAGGGGTGCTCTAAAATTAGATGAAGATTAAGAGACAAAATTAATAAATTATATATCTTATTATTTTATATAAATATGAAATATATGAAAACAATAAATAAATAAATAGTTAATTCTCAGAAGGAACTCACTACTACAAAAAAGGGCATCATAGACCGCCAAAACCATCAGTAATCTGGCTAATAGGGTTTACCGACAGATTCCAACAGTCCTAAATGCGTAGGTATAATCTTCTCGGGAATTGTTTGTGATGGATTTCCGACGACTACGACAACTTTTAACAAAATTTTCCATCAGTAATTAGTAACTGATCGTCGATAGAAATATTTTTGCAACGGATTTCCGACGGAATGTGTTTGCAACAAATTATTGACGAAATAACTCGTTAACGGATTACCGACTGCATATCAAAATACCCACTAATGGATTACCGATAGATTGCATATGACGGATTACCAACGGATTTTGGCATTATAAAAATAAATACATAAATTTCATATCAATATTCGACATACATTAAATCCATAAATTTCATGGAATCCATAAATTTCATATCAATATTCGACATTCATGAAATCCATATTTTAAAAGCAACAATATAAAAGTAAAAAAGTTATAATATTCGACATACATTAAATCCATAAATTTCATATCAATATTCGATATTAAATGCATAATACTAAAAAATAGTAGCAATGTACTTTTTAAGAAGGCATCCAAACTCCAAAGTTTCATAATAGTTCTCGGGACTTTAACAACTGATGGAGCGTATCCTTCCTGATTAGCTTGTGGATTCCACACTTGTGATTTTCTTAATTAGCGTGTTGATTCCACACAAGAGTTGTTAGCCGGAGAGATATTTATATATTGTCAAATACCATAAATGTCCTCCAATGTTGAAAATAAAGAGGACTGAAAAAGTAAAAATGAATAATTTTAATGAGTTAATGATGATAAATAGCAATGTAATTTTTTGAAATTCTTAATTATATTTACATACTTTAAACTCTAATTATAATAGGAAAGCATTTTCGATTTGTTTTCACGATTATACAACATACTTTAAGTTTTTACTCATAATAGCAACCTATTTTCAATAGTAATAGCAATGTACTTTGTCATATCTCCCGATTACAACTTACAAGAACATTCAGGATCATTGGTTTTATAATTAAAAGCAAAATGAAAAAAGAATGCTACTTCATAATGTATGATGCCATAATCGGGAACTTTGGTAAAGTACGTTGCTATTTCTCATAATTAACCTTTAAAAAATGTCAAAATTATTTCAATATTATGGGATAAACATGCATAATCGGGTGGTTTATCGCTTCGAGTGAATTCCTTCATAAGTTCTACCATTTATCCAATAAGACGGCTTTCCATCTTCTCTCGTAACTTCACCGCTTTTTCAAGATGGGCTTGCATCTCCTCCCATTCCTTCATTTCCCTTTCTAGCATGCTCTCCAATTCATTTACCTAAAATATCATACAACAAACATATATAATTAGTATAAAATATAGAGAATGAAATATCAACATATTTATCCTTTATTAAACCAATATACATAATAGGAACGTACTTTACTATGTTTTACCACAATATAGTGAAACATAATTCACATATATATACATAATAACAAATTTACATCTTATACATATTAGCAACAAAGTCTACCATTTTTTTACCAATATAGTTAATGCACATACATTTATATAAGAACATACTATGTGTAAATCAATATAGCAACATACTCTACTATTTTTATCTTAATAACAACAAATTTATTTTTTTATTGATAAAAACACAACAAGTAAATCAATATACCTTCTTTTGAAATGAGGCGTAATCATGGGAAGAGGAGCCACACTCCTAAGGTGGAAGAACATACAACCATTTTTGCATATTAAATAGTCTTTTATCCTTTTATCTTATCTTGCTATTATATAAGATATTTTTATTGAACTTAGTCAATTTTTTTTATCTAAAAAGTAATTTATCCAAGTAGGCAGAACTTAATGAGAGAAAAGAAACAGATTGCAATGATCCTATAAAAGGGAATATATGTAGATGTAACGATTAATTGCCCATGAAAAATATCAGTTTGAGAATGATTTGGGTTGCAATGGACGAGAAAGCAGTGACTTGAGCTCTTGCAGTTTGACCAAACATGAAAATACTCTAAATCAGCACGAACAAAATAATTTTCCGTTTAATAAGAATGAGAATAAGGAGAAAAACAATTTTTTCTACCTGGATATATGATTTGGAATCTAGTTTTAAATGTTCATATCATATTAATAGTTCATTTTATGTCATAAATCAAAATTTTAACTCCGTTCACTAAGTAAATATGGTGAAATCTCAAATCATGAAAACTTGAGTATCATTAAGTAAGAACGAAAGATCACTGAAGTAGGAAAACTACACTTATTTGCGTAAATTAGAACAATGCATGTAGAACTCATATTAGAAGTAAATTAACTAGTTATTCAAAGTTCATTATATGAACTTTCAACTCTATTTATATGTAAGTTTTTATCCGTAATTAAGAGTTTTAATAGAATTTGGAGAATAGAAAGAACGATCACCACTTGAATGTGTTAATATATAGAGGGGTGACAGAGTATTCAAGGAATGAATTTTGGGAGAGTTTTTCGACATATCAAAAGGGTTTATTTGTCTAGTTACCTAAGGTTTCACATTGTTGCACTTGCGTATTTATGCAATACACCTTGTAAAGATCTTTATTTCATCTAAACCTAGTTATGTGTGAGTAATCAGTAATCAGTTGTTAGGGTTTGGCTGGAATGATGAAGCGTGTCAAAATGAATCGTAATTGATAAACAACTGAATTTCATAGACTAGTTTAGCATATAAGATCGAGCACAGATCTAGGGAGAAAACCCTGGAAAATTTCTTAGAACTAACTAATATATTGTAATCTTAGATTCAAATATTTCCACATACCAATAGACATGATTTCATTCATATCCACTTATCCGATTCTCATATACTTAACGCTTCTGTTCACACTACCACAAACAATAGTAAATGAAGGAAAAAGACTAACCTTTTGACAACTGAGAAATAAAGTTGTGAAATTGTGATGAAGATGATACGTGGTTTTACTAAGATGAAAGAGAGTAGTTTATCGAGATGTATCATTGCAGAACGTGTATTCAATTAAAATGGTGGTGATAGTCGTTGCCAACAGGATTGTAGAGTAATCGATGATTTCCAGAAGCCGGAACGGAATGCCTTCAACTCCGACAACTTCGAGTGTGGAGGTGACGACAACAGAGTCGGAAATGATGCAGAGAGCCTGACTTTGATGATCCAGGTTAAGGGGTGTTTAGGAATGTTTTTTAAAATGAGACTTATTAGTTTTTCAAAAAGCTAATAAATTAAAAAGATGTTTGGTAAACACTAACTTTTCAGTGAAAAAACAACTTTTTCTAGAAATTAGGAATTTCTGGCTTTTCCAAAAAGTCAATAAGGAGTTTAAGAAGAAATCCCAAACACACCATAAGTCTACGTACAATCTCGCTTATGTGAAAGACTAAATTCTTATTTACCAAATTACCCATTAAATTAAAAAATTAAAAAAATCTTAATTTTATCAACTGATTACCAATAGAAATGCAAATTTGGTGATTTCCTATTGCTAAACTGTCGTATATTGTATTGGATTACCGACCAAATTTATTTTTGTAACAACCAAAAAACAGTGATAATTTTTTTTTTCATTTTAAAAATCACTAGTATTATATATCAGATGTCTCAAGGTCAACCAAAATACAAAATGTCAAAAACATCAGAGTACACATAGCAATAAGTACAGAATCATGAGGGGGATGTTGTACCACCATGTCGGGCCCTTCCCTTTCATACTGGAAGTATCTAGAACCATAAACATAAATTGTAAGCACAAAGCTTAGCGAGTTACCCAAAGTACCACATACCAAACATACAATTAAGCTCAGTGTTGGGGTATATTCTAGCCCAATATAGAATCATGAGCCCAACCATGGGTTTAAGTTCAACCTAATTATACAGATATAGGCCCGACCTTGGGGTTTATTTCAACTCGATCATATAATAATGGGCCCAACTTTGGGGTTTCTTTCAACCTGATCATACAAACATCCAAGAGTCACAAAGACAACTAGCGTCCTACATGCACAATTTAGTGGGCCGAAATTGGTGTCTTCGACCCAAACACACATAGAGAAGACTCACCTCCAACTAAAGATAATAGAATCACATACACTTGCGCGACTACCACAGACCCTCACACCGATCATAACCCACAATCAACCCTAATCAATAATCGGGGTGATAACCCATAATCAATGGTCTAGATCATCTTCTAACTTAATGAGGGTAAAAGTCCATTTTTCCTTTCCCATACATGACGCAAATATTCATGGTCCAAAACTCCTAATGACCCCAAGCCCAAAAATGGCCCAAATAGGTTTCTAGGAGTACGCCATTTGTACTCCCCATTACGTCCTGCATACTGCGAGACCTCAGAGAGGTTGCAAGGTAAAGACCAACTACGCCATATGTACTTAGGGGTTACCGTCAGAACTGGCAAATTTTGGGTTGAGATTGTGTTTCATGTACAAACAATTCCTCTATGTGACCTTGTTGCATTAAACTATTGAAATTAAAAAAATGGTAATGTTATATGAACATGTATGCATACACTAAGAATCAAGTAGTGATAACCTCATGTAAGCCCAAATTTGATCTAATAACTAAAGAAAAACAAGTTTTTGGGCCTTTGCTTAGAGTTCTCAGCCCAAATACCATAGGCCGAAAACCCGTTTCCTTTGGGCCTTCCTTTGGCCGAAAACTCTTTTATTGGACCAAATTAAGCATGAAAGCCCATACCCACCCGAAAACCAAAAACCCTCCCTTAATGGGCCTTCAAAACCAAAAAAACCCAAAAAGATAGCCCATAAAAGCTGAAAACCTGATAAGGTTTCAGTTTGGGATTGGATAAAAAAGAAAAAAAAGAAAAAAAAAAGAAAAAGAAATGATAAATAGAGTGACACCTCAATACTTTACCTCATATTGTCCACCAAACAACCACCTCATACATTCTTATACCTTTCGTACATCCACACCATACATCACATTGCTTACCATGCAACCAAGCCTACATTTTTCCCTCTCTCTTCTTAATATCGGCCAAAAGCACCCAAGGCCACACTAAAATTTCATCCTATAACGACCCGTTATTTTCAAATCAATGTAATAGTACAGATCAACTTGGAATTCATTTTTAAAGTAATAAAGAAAAATTATTTGTAAATTTTGCGTATTAAATTATTTTTAAAAGATATAATAAAAATGATCGTCAAAATTAAAATGTTAAATAAACATGATGGGGATGAATAAAGTGGTAGAGATCGTATCAAGGATTCCAAAAATATAACGAACGCCCAGATCTGAGTTATAACAAATAAGTTATGTCCTATCGAAGATCCGCGATAAAATCGGCAAAACACTGTTTAAAGTAAAAAGTGAGTTTTCAGTAAAATATTTTTTAGCCTTAACTGTCTAAATAAAAGTTGTAATATATGTTAAACCATGAATGTTCATAAAAAGAACGTCCAAATCTTACTGCCTATGAAGAATTTATGATTTTTCTTAGATTCGACATAACAGTACACAACCATAAATTCGAAATAAAGGTCGAGCGATATTTAGCCGACACAACCTAAATGAGAATCGAACGTTTCGTCAATAGTAGTACAACGGTAAAAAGATAGACGAAAACGGATTTCAGATGAAGAAGTTATGAATTTTAACGATTTTTCTTATCTCAGTCTGATAACAATAATAATTTTAAAAATAAATTCAAAATTAGCCGACAAAGTCTAAACGAAAGTTTTAGAGTATAACCTCACTTACGCGTGGATATAAAGGACGTTAAAATGGAGTTCGTATGCGAAAGTTATGAATTTTTGAAATTCAGGGCACAAAAACTGAGAACCTTTGCATATGCGAGGCCAGGCTTTGGAGAGGTTTCCGGCTGGTGGTGACGGCTTGGAAGTGGTTTCCGGCAACGGTGGGTTTGCTGGTCCATTAGGGTTTTTGAGTTTAAAGAAGAGGGAAGATGTAGCTGGTAATAGGTAGGGGTATAGATGGGGACCCATATGTATTTTTTATTTAAACTTTTTATTTTAATCAGATAATCATAATAAAAATAATATTAAAGGGTTATAAATGTCATTTTAGGTCTATTACTATTAGGGATTAAGTACAAAACAAAAGCAAATTATATGGATAGTCCATGTTAAAAAATAAAATTAGGAACCAACATGCATATTACCCAAAACAATAAGGACTATTAGTGTAAACATGTGAACAACATGGACCCATTCTCTTGATTGCTTCTTTCCCCCAACTCTAACAAACTGGTTTTTCTTTCTCATAAAATTAGGAAAATCATTAGATTCTTCTTCCTTCTTTCGGTAACATATACCAAGATAGGCTGGGAAATCCCCCTTCGATAAACATGTGGCAACTTAATCAAAGAAACGACCATGCCCAATCAAACACCACAATCATGAAAAACACCTGAACCGAGACCTAAAGCTGAACGAACCTCTTTCCATTGATAAAGCGAGTATGCTTTTAAAACTTATTCCATACTCTTACTAAAGGAGACACATGAATAACTTTTTATTTGACTTTTCAATAAAACCAATACGTCTAAACATAAGGTAGGTGTTTTTACGACTCATTAAACAGGGGATCAAAATCTTTATACGATAGAGGCGGAGGATGAAGCGAATGTTTAAGTTTGGGATTGATATTTATTAGCAAAATGGCTTTTTAGTTTGTATGATGTAAAAACCAAGTTAAAAAAACAAATATTTGCTTTAAGTTAATCGATATCAAAGTAGATAATTTATTTTTTTAATGTTTGGTATAATGATAAAATAACTTAAAAGAAAACTATTATATATGTCACTATATAAAAAAATTAATGTCTCAAAATCTTTTATAAAATCAATGATTATTTATAAAATGTTTCCATTCAAACAATTAATACTCATTATTACCGTTTTGCTAAAGCTAAATAACTCAATAATCCATTCAAATAAACAATCACAATCACCCTAATCTCCCTCAAACACTTGTTCCTATTCTAATAAAAGAATAGTTTTATTCTCCTTGTGACATGTGTCACCCTATTAGACATCTTAATTAATATATATTTTATTCTTCTTTTGCTATGTAACACCCTATTATGTCTCCTAATTAATACATACCACTTGTCAATCTATGGATTTTTCATTTTAAATTCCAAATTTCTCTCTATAAGTAAATTAAATTAATAACATTAAAATAAAATTAATACAAATTATAAAATGATATAATTTCACATATTTATTTAAATCAATGATTATAATTTTATATAACTAAAAAATTTCCTAATTAATAAGTTATTTAAAATAACTGATTAATAATTTTAAATTTTTATTATAAAAATTTAATTAATTTTATAACTATTCTCACGGGTTATAAACTAGTTACATGTAAAATAGTTAAAAAGCTAATTATGTGTATTTCTCAATACTAGTCTACTTAAATATCCACAACTTGCCGCATGTTTTTTTATTTTAAAAGCAACGAAAGTAATAATATATGAATATATAAATATATAAAGTAATAAAGATAAAGATATGGAAGTGAAAGCTTTGAAACCATTGGCTTTTGCCTCCTGGTTTTAATGACCCCATGAAACCGAAGCTGTTTGACTCTCTTGTCTGTGTGCTTGTCTATCTCTATTTATATCCTGCTTCTAGTTTTTCCATCTTTCATCAATCACTTGTGCAACAAACATACTTCCGATTCAAACGAAACCAATTTCCTCTAATTAAACCATCTTCAACATTTAACCATGAGTTTCAGAAGCAGAGCATGGATGGTGGCCGGAGCTGTCGGAGTGGTGGAAGCCCTCAAAGATCAAGGCTTTGCACGATGGAACACCACCATCAGGACCATCCAGCACCACGCTAAGTCCAATCTCCGATCAATCGCCCAGGCCAAAATCTTGACTTCGCCGGCGGCCATGGCTTCTAGCAAAGACATGGAAGAGAAGGCAAAACAATCAGAAGAATCATTGAGAAAAGTAATGTACTTGAGCTGTTGGGGTCCTAATTAATCATTCATTTGGTACATGATGCGAGAAAGGTTATACATCGAGATTCTGGATCTAGATTCAAAGTGTCTGGAGATTTTTCAAGCAAACCAGTCGATGAAGGGTTTAGTCGGTGGAATTGCACAATAAAGAGCACCCACCACCATGAGATCGACGTCCAAACTTGGGCTAAATTCGAGTCGACATCCCCATTTGTTTGATGAGTTCGAGTTTGTATTAGTTAACATCAAAACTCTGATAGAAAGGCGGATAGAAATATATTGTTGAGAGATGCTTTTATGTAAACACTTACCCTTTTTTCCACAAGTACAAATACACTGGCTATACCCTATAAATTGTTTCATATTTATAATATTTATGAAATGGGTACATACTCAATAGTCGATCCATTATCCATAATGTATTTAAGTGATGACAGAACCCAACACGAAAAATAATCCATGAATAAATTGCGAAATCAGAAATATTCAAAACAGATTTGAAGACTTGGACTATATATATTTTAGTAAAATTTTAGTAAAAAGGTTACTCATAAACATCGAAGAAAAGGCTAAAACCACATTATCATCTACGTCGATATCAACCCACGACTCTTGAAAGAGACAAATGTAGATTGGTGTGCCCTATATAAAAATTACTAGGTATTCAACGTGGCACCAATACATAAAATTCAAGAAACCTGTTGGAAGCTTATTGGTTGCGATCGATCATGACTCACCCCAGATTCATCACTCGAAGAAGGCCACGTGAATGCATCTAGCTATGGTCATGTACTGCTCCCTCAAAACCACCATATTTTAACCCCCAAACCACACCCCAACTCTATAAATTAATAACTCTTCCCTCATCTCTTCATTTCATCACAAAATCGCAACACTACGAGTCTACAACTCAACCAGAATCCATAGTTTCTCGCTCACAAAATGACTTCTCTAAACCGTGTATGGATGGCCACCGGCGTAGCTGTTGCAAATGGACATACAGATCAAGGCTACAAACTTAAATCCCTCCTCCTCAACTCCTTCCCACACGGCAAGAAGGCCTTCACCTCCGATCTCCGCCCACTTTCCGGCCTTCTAATATCAGACGTCGTCAGTGTCGGAGAAAGGAAGACAACACAGTCCGATGAGTCTCTCCGGCAAGTCATGTACTTCAACTGCTGGGGCCAAAGCTGAGGATTGGTTTGTGTACTGTGATTGGGAGGCTTTCTCGACGGATGAGCCTTCGATGATGCGAGTTAACTCTTGGTTTTTGGATTTGGATTGAGTCGTAAAATGGATCATTTCCTAAGCGAGTTAAGTCATGGTTTTGTAAATATCATTGGCTCTTGTAACCAAGACAATGCAAAAAAAATTGAAGTGAAATATGGAACTTGACATTGTTGCCCTTTGATTGTTACAATTTTTAGTATTATAACTACATAAAAAGCTATTAAAAAAAGTCAAATGTTTTTGTATATTTCAATTTTCAAGTTTCAACCTATCATTTTCTCTTACATTTTATTTTATTCATCTACCTACTAATCATTATACATCAAGATAAATATCAAAATATACCGAAAATTTCACCGAGACATGTTTCAATTGATCTATCGTCATTATAGGATCAATTTTCTAATCGAAAAAACGAACTGGAATTGGACGGTTAAACCATTCACAATGGGAGTTTTAAGAGTTTAATAAAATAAATATAAATATATATGCAGGAAAGAGAATATAAAGTTGAATGAATGGGAGTTTTAAGAGTTTAATAAAATAAATATAAATATATATGCAGGAAAGAGAATATAAAGTTGAATGGCTATGCAACGGTCTAATAAAATAGTAATGAAAATTTATGATTTTTTTTTAAATGTATACATTCTCTTTTCTACTTAAATTTCATTCGACTCTTAATGGGTTTAATCATTGGAGACGACCTTAGAACTAATTAGTAGTATTCGGTCCTATTATCAGTTCCCCGTTCAATCCTTAATTGGTTTTCGTTTATTTCGGTTCTAATTAGGTTCGGACCATTTTACATCAATACACCATTGTTCTTAAGCCTAGACTTGTTTTGGGGTATCCAACCTTAGAAGAAGACGTTTAGTTTTGTTGGATAGGGAATGCTTATTCACCTCTGCTGTGCGACTTCGAAAAATGGTTGAAGATTAAGAGACAAAATTAATAGATTATATATCTTATTATTTTATATAAATACGCAGACATATAAAAGCAAAAAATAGATAAATAGTTAATTCTCAAAAAAGAACTCACTACTACAAAAAGGGCATTATCGACGGCTAAGTAAATCGTCGCTAATAGGTTTTACTGACGGAATTGCAACAGACCCAAACGTGTCGATATATTCTTCTTAGTAATTGTTTGTGATGGATTTCTGGCAACTACGACAATTTTAGCAAGAAAATTTTCCGTCAATAAAAAGTAACCAGCCATTTACGAAAATATTTTTGTAACGGATTATCGAAATAATGTGTTTGCAACAGATTACCGACGAAATAACTCATTAACGGATTATCGGTGGAATATCAAAATACTCACTAACGGATTACTGACAAATTTCATGTGATAGATTACCCACAAATTTTGGCATTATAAAAACAATTTATATAAATTCATGAAATCCATATACGTTAAAACCAACAAATATCAAAGTAAAAATGTTCTGTTAAAAAATAAACAAGCTATTAATGCGGAAAAACATAATCGAACAACCATGCGAAAACCACAATATAAAGTGGAAAACCCGAATCAGGGAAAATCACTATGAAAACGACACTCTTATTAAGAGATCACATTGCTGATAAATCTCCAAGGAATAAATGAGAGAAAAAAGATGTTGGAATAAATAAATAAGACATCTAGAAGACTTTATATAATAATCTTATAAAGAATCATAAACAAACTCTTAAACCCTAATAAATAGGAAACATTCTTGAATAAATATGAGGTGTTATAATCTAAAGATAACTCCTATATACAATATAAGACACTTAATAAAGGGCGTGGAACATATTCAACAAACTCCCTAATGAGATACTGAGCAGTGTGATACGTGCATTTTGAAAGCCAACATAATGTTGTTGAGTGTATGAGTTTTTATTTTTAATTTCTTTTAAGAATACTTTTCTCTTGTGAAAACCTCTCTTATTTATTTACCTGACATTCTACCTTTTTAGGATCTCTTTTATAAACCATAAATTACTATCTTTTCAGGATAGCTAACGATCATAACTTATTTTAGTTACCATACCAAGCGTCCCTAATGGTAATCTAAACTCTAAGACAATTTTTGATGTATCAATGTGAGCCCTTATAATCGATGCTACGATCGTAAATATACCCCCAATCACAAGCCTGCTGGGATTGTAGCTTGCAATCGCAGGTGGCGTTGTCATGACCCCAGATAGATCTATACATAACGTCCTAGCTCTCTCAAAATTAACGATTATAGGTATTAGGGATATGCCAAATTTAGTCAAAGCTTTTAGATGAATAACCAACTCACCGATGCATTAACTCTAGTCTTTTATCTTTTAATATTTTATATCATAATTACCTGTTATAAATCCGTTTCCGACGTTCCTTATATCCACAAAAAGGTAATGGGAAGCAACGGATTTATAACGAAGAAGTTATGGCCTTTAGAAATTTTGAGGTTTGCAGGCTTAGCCGAGTACGTTGGGCGTACACAAAGCGTACGTTGGGCGTAATTTTGGAGTATGCTGGGCGTACTGACCAGGGGTGGTCACGAATGTTCTTCAAAGTTCGCTAGGCGTACCATATGAACATTGGGCATACGCCAAACACACCTGAACACTATTTTAGGGTCTTGGACCCTATTTAAGCTCCTTATCTTATAACCTAACCCTAATATCTTCAACCTCCGTCCCTCTAAACCCTAGAAATCGACCCTAAGCCTCCATCTGTGTAACAGCCCGGAATTTCTAGGTATTTATTATTGGTGTATTTTTGGAGAATTGTGAGTGGACTCGGCGAGTTGGAGCTCAAACTCGCCGAGTTGGATTGCGATTTTGGACGCGGGTTCGCGTCTGGACTCGGCGAGTCCAAGAGTGGACTCGGTGAGTCCACGCTGTGTAATGAAACCCTAATTCCCAGGGTTTGAGACCTATTTAAAGGGGCTTATGGCGATCATTTTCGGCCACCAACCCCTAGAGAGAAACCCTAAAGAGATTTGAGCATTTTGGGATGGAAAAGAGGCCATTATTGACCTTTGGAGCTTGGTTTGGCAAGACAAAGGAGATTCTAGCTAAGAGAAGGCAAGGGAAGTGGGCATTTTGCGATTTTGGAGCTCAGAGCATCATCTTGGAGGTATATCTTGGCTTCCTAATTCTAGCATATGGAAATCAATATTAACATATAATTAGGTTTAAGATGTTACCTTGATTGTTATGTAGCAATAACAATCCCAATTCCTTCTTAAATTGACTTTGGAATGCTTAGAGTTACAAGTGTCACTCCTCTAATGGCTTACAAACACCAAGAGCAAATGGAGAAGGTATAAAGAGAGAGGAGAGAGGTAGGAATTCATCCTTAGGACTTCTTAGGAAGGCTTAGACGAATTCATGAGCCTTAGGGGTTTATATAGGTGTAAAGATTAGGGTTTTAGTCCTTATCCTTATCTAGTTGCTTGCCCACCAAGTAACCATAAGATAAGTCTTAGAAACCCTTATCCTAGTCGAATTCTAAGGCATTATCTCCTTAAATTCGTTCACCCTATATTTAAGATAATCCTTACCTTATTTTGTAACTATCACATAATTACAAATCAGTCCCTCTAGTTTAATTAATTACACTTGATCACAAAATTAATTCCTAATTAATTATTGACCAATATTAATTAAACAAATATGATTTCTCCTTTAATATATTATTCTTATAACATATTAATAAATCATAATAACCCCTCTCTCTTTATTTATTTCTCCAATCAAGTTGCTTTGGTGAAGGCAACCCAAAAGGACCATGCACCATCGGGTCAAGTACATACCAAAATAGTTATGAACTTAGACACTAATCCAACAGTTGCATGGCATGGACTCGCCGAGTCCGAAGAACAGACTCAGCGAGTAGCATGAAGATTGCCCAGCACCACTCAGCGAGTGGTCTTGCCGAGTTGAGGGATTGACTCAGTGAGTCAGGGAGAGTCAGAGTGGTTGACAGGTGGACTGAGTCAAGATGGGACTTGCCGAGTTGTTCTTGAGACTCGGCGATTTGAGTCGCGGATCCAAGCCCTAATCATGTTGATCTAGCTCCAGAAAGCATAAAGTTTGAATCTTGGTGGCTTTCTCATGTGGATCTAGTGGGGTGATCACTTGTTATGTTTGTATTTTGAAGAAGAAGGAGCTTTGAAAGAGGATAGCTTGAGCACCTAGCTTTTGGATCTATGTTCTACTCTTGTTGGTGTATCTTCCAGAGGTATCAAGTTTTGAACTTGCTTATTGTTGTGCTAGTTTTTATTGTGTCCATTTTAGGGTTTTTGGTCCCAAAGCTTGAAGCTTTATGAGTTGTTGAACTCCAGAGCATAATATATGTCCCTTTGAGTATATTTAGTGGTGTTATGTTATAAAAATCCAATCTTGGATGTTGGAATCAAGCCATGCATGGGATAGGAGGTTTTTGAAATAAGGAAGTGAGTGTTTTGGGTGTTTGTGACCTTTCCAGCCAATCAAAGGCTTAAAGTTACTGACTTTATGGAGTAAGTGCCATTAGGGAGTCCAGATCTAGGGATTGAGGTAATGTCTTAACTGTTTAAGACCAAATGAGTAGAAAGCGTGAATCTGGGGAGTACGCTGAGCGTAATTCTTGTACCCCCCACGTATTGCCCCAGTGTCGCGATGGCCAATATGGATTCGTGAGCATGCTGAGCGTACCAAGAGAGGTACGCCCCGCGTAACCTCACCGTGGACTTTTGGGCTTAGTCTTATTTTGGGCCTTGAGTGTTGGGCTTGGAGTTTGGACTTATTGCAATAGAGTCTTGGACCAGAGGATTATAGATATGTGCTCTGGGCCCTTGAGTTGGGCTTACCATTAGATGTGAGAGAGTTGGGCCTCGGAAGAGCCCATTTATTATTGGGCCTTAGTGGGCCAATGGGTTTTAGGTCATTGATGGGCTGGTTAGTGGACTACCTTTAAACCTAATGAGCGTGAGTTAGGAATTAGTTCCTAATTGGGATAATTGTGGGTTTGACACAGAGTTAGAGGCTGGTACGTAGCAGCAACATTTATAGGGGTTGTTCATCGTTTGAGGTGAGTCTTCTCACTATATCTTACCTAGAGTGGTGATTATGTGTGAACGAAAGGTCTTATGTGCTTATAAGTGTTATGTGATATATTTCTATGTGATATGTATATGTTTGTATGGTTCAGACCGGAAGGTAAATAGAGCTAATGCCGGAAGGTTTATCCAAGTTGTGGAACCGGAAGGTCCCATTGAGACACAGTGACCGAAAGGTCTTGTAGCCTAAGGTGGCTAGTATGCCGGAAGGCTTATACCTTCCGTACATCCACACCATACATCACATTGCTTACCATGCAACCAAGCCTACATTTTTCCCTCTCTCTTCTTAAGATCGACCAAAAGCACCCAAGGCCACACTAAAATTTCATTCTGTAAGGACCCGTTATTTTCAAATCAATGTAATAGTACAGATCAACTTGTAATTCATTTTTAATGTAATAAAGAAAAATTATTTTTAAATTTTACGTATTAAATTATTTATAAAAGATATAATAAAAATTATCGTCAAAATAAAAATGTTAAATAAACTTGATTGGGATGAATAAAGTGGTAAAGATCGTATCAAGGATTCCAAAAATATAAAGAACGCCCAAATCCGAGTTATAACGAAGAAGTTATGACCTATCGAAGATCCGCGACAAAATCGACAAAACATTGTTTAACGTAAAAAGTGAGTTTTCAATAAAATATTTTTTTAGCATTAACTATCTAAAAAAAAGATGTAATATACGTTAAACCGTGAATGTTCATAAAAAGAACGTCCAAATCTGATTTCGTATGAAGAATTTATGATTTCTCTTAGATTCGACATAGTAGTACACAACCATAAATTTGAAATAAAGATCGAGCGATATTTAACTGACACAACCTAAACGAGAATCGAACATTTCGTCAATAGTAGTACAACGGTAAAAAGACAGACAAAAACGGACATCGGATGAAGAAGTTATGATTTTTTAGCCGACAAAGTCTAAACGAAAGTTTTAGAGTATAACCTCACCTACGCGTGGATATAAAGAACGTTAAAAATGGAGCTCGTATGCGAAAGTTATGAATTTTTGAAGTTTGGGGCACAAAAACCGAGAACCTTCGCATATGCGAGGCCAGGCTTTGGAGAGGTTTCCGACTGGTGGTGACGGCTTGGAAGTGGTTTCCGGCAGCGGTGGGTTTGCTGGTCCATTAGGGTTTTTGAGTTTAAAGAAGAGGGAAGATGTAGCTGGTAAAAGGTAGAGGTATAGATGGGGACCCATATGTATTTTTTATTTAAACTTTTTATTTTAATAAGATAATCATAATAAAAATAATATTAAAGGGATATAAATGTCATTTTAGGTCTATTATTGTTAGGGACTAAGTACAAAACAAAAGCAAATTATATGGATAGTCCATGTTAAAAAATAAAATTAGGAACCAACACGCATATTACCTAAAACAATAAGGACTATTAGGTGGTGTTTGTTTTTTTGAAGCCAAAATGTCTGCAGTCTGCGGACCACATCTGCAAGCCTCTGCAGCAGAAGTGGTGGACCAAATGTCTGCAGTCTGCAATAAGAAGACTGTTTGTTTTTAACGTCTGCAGCTGTTGAAATAAATTAAATTTTCAAACTTAATTTCATGTCATAAAGATTAAAAAATGCATTTTCAGTAAAAAGAGAGAGAAAAAAAAACGGGTGTTTTTTTTTTTTTTTTTTTTTTTTTTGGTTAAAATGAGATCTGAAGATCTTTGAAGTTAGCAACCCATGTCTGCGCCAGGAAGACCTCGCGCAGACGTTTTTTGATCTGCGCACTTCCAAAAAACAAACACTATGCGAGGGCATATGTATGCGCGTTGTCTGCGCGGCGCAGACAAAAGTGATTGAGCAGCTCTTCACAAAAAGAAAAAAAAACAAACAGCCCCTTAATGTAAACATGTGAACAACAGGGACCCATTCTGTTGATTGCTTCTTTGCCCCAACTCTAACAAACTGGGTTTTCTTTCTCATAAAATTAGGAAAATCATTAGATTCTTCTTCCTTCTTTTGGTAACATATACCTAGATAGGCTGGGAAATCCCCCTTTGATAAACATGTGGCAACTTAACCTCTAAGTAAGGAAAGAAACGACCATGCCCAATCAAACACCACAATCATGAAAAACACCTGAACCGAGACCTAAAGCTGAACCGCTGAACGAACCTCTTTCCATTGATAAAGCGAGTATGCATTTAAAACTTATTCCATACTCTTACTAAAGGAGACACATGAACAACTTTTTATTTGACTTTTCAATAAAACCAATACGTCTAAACATAAGGTAGGTGTTTTTACCACTCATTAAATAGGGGATCAAAATCTTTACATGATAGGATGAAGGGAATGTTTAAGTTTGGGATTGATATTTATTAGCAAAATAGCTTTTTAGTTTGTATGATGTAAAAACCAAGTTAAAAAAACAAATATTTGCTTTAAGTTAATCGATATCAAAGTAGATAATTTATTTTTGTAATGTTTGGTATAATGATAAAATAACTTAAAAAAAAAAACTATTATATATGTCACTATATAAAAAAATTAACGTCTCAAAATCATTTATAAAATCAATGATTATTTATAAAATATTTCCATTCAAACAATTAATACTCATTATTACAGTTTTGCTAAAGCTAAATAACCCAATAATCCATTCAAATAAACAATCACAATCACCCTAATCTCCCTCAAACATTTTACATATAAAATAGTTAAAAAGCTAATTATGTGTATTTCTGAATACTAGTCTACTTAAATATCCACAACTTGCCGCAAGTTTGTTTATTTTAAAAGCAACGAAAATAATAATATATCGATATATAAAAATTATATTATAAAGTAATAAAGATAAAGATATGGAAGTGAATTGCTTTGAAACCATTGGCTTTTGCCTCCTGTTTTTAATGACCCCATGAAACCTGGGAGGGTGAGAAGCTGTTTCACTCTCTTGTCTGTGTGCTTGTCTAACTCTATTTATATTTTACTTCTAGTTTTTCCATTTTTCATCAATCACTTGTGCAACAAACATACTTCCCATTCAAACGAAACCAATTTCCTCTAATTAAACCATCTTCAACATTTAACCATGAGTTTCAGAAGCAGAGCATGGATGGTGGCCGGAACTGTCGGAGTGGTGGAAGCCCTCAAAGATCAAGGCGTTGCACGATGGAACACCACCATCAGGACCATCCACCACCACGCTAAGTCCAATCTCCGATCAATCGCCCAGGCCAAAATCTTGACTTCGCCGGCGGCCATGGCTTCTAGCAAAGACATGGAAGAGAAGGCGAAGCAATCAGAAGAATCATTGAGAAAAGTAATGTACTTGAGCTGTTGGGGTCCAAATTAATCATTCATTTGGTCCGTGATGGGAGAAAGGTTATCGGCCAAGATTCAGGATATAGATTCAAAGTGTTTACAGGAAAAATTCTAAACCAATTCAAATCGGTGAATGGGTTAGTCGGTGGAATTGCACAATAAAGAGCACCCACCACCCTGAGATCGACGCCCAAACTTGGGCTAAATTCCGGTCCACATCGCCATTTGTTTGATGAGTTCGAGTTTGTATTAGTTAACATCAAAACTCTGATAGAAAGGTGGATAGAAATATATTGTTGAGATATGCTTTTGATGTAAACACTTACCCTCTATTTTAGTAAAAAGGTTACTCATAAACATTGAAGAAAAAGGTTAAAACCGCATTATCAGCTACATCGATATCAACCCACTTGTCTTTAAAGGGACAGATGTAGATTGCAGTGATTCTATACCCTATAAAAAAATTACTAGGTATTCTACGTGGCCCCAATACATGAAATTCAAGAAGCCTGTTGGCAGCTTATTGGTCGGCATCGATCATGACTCATCCCCAGATTCATCACTCCAAGAAGGCCACATGAATGCATCTAGCTATGGTCATGTGCTGCTCCCTCAAAACCACCATATTTCAACCCCCAAACCACACCCCAACTCTATAAATAAACAAGTCTTCCCTCATCTCCTCATTTCATCAGAAAATCGCAACACTACGAGTCTACTACTCATAACCAGAATCCATAGTTTCTCGCTCACAAAATGACTTCTCTAAACCGTGTATGGATGGCCACCGGCGTAGCTGTTGCAAATGGACATACAGATCAAGGCTACAAACTTAAGTCCCTCCTCCTCAACTCCTTCCAACATGGCAAGAAGGTCTTCACCTTCGATTTACGTCCATTTTCCTGCCTTCTACGATCAGACGTCATCAGTGTCGGAGACAAGAAGACAACACAGTCCGATGAGTCTCTCCGGCAAGTCATGTACTTCAATTGCTGGGGCCAAAGCTGAGGATTGGTTTGTGTACTGTGATTGGGAGGCTTTCTCGACGGATGAGCAATCGATGATGCGAGTTTACTCTTGCTTTCTGGATTTGGATTGAGTCGTAAAATGGATCATTTCCTAAGCGACTTAACTCCTGGTTTTGTAAATATCATTGGCTCTTGGTACTACAAGAATAAGTACCTATAGGGACGACATTTGTGATCGCTATAGGCTTCTTATAGGGACGACATATCGTCACTTTAGAGTTGACCATTTTTTTTTGACTTTTTAAGATAAAGGGACGACTTGTTGTCTTAACATGTTAAACGGTAAAAATGAAGGGTTGGTGCGTTCTTTAGACATCTATAGAGACGACATATCGCTCTAATAAATAATAAAAATTGAATATAACATATTTTTTTAATTGTTTAACAAGAAAAAAATGTTTTGGGGTAACTATAGGAGACGAGAGCTATAGGGACGACATATCACCCGGACACCTATAGGAATGACTTTTGGAACCTATAGAGACGACATTGTCGTCCCTGCATGTGCCGTTTGTTGTAGTGTGTTACCAAGACGATATAAACCAATGACTTCCAACCTAGCTGGGAAGAGGTACCGGGTTTAATATCGACTTATCAAAGGTCGGGAGTTCAATCCCTGCAAAATCCAATTTAGGTGCCTCTTAAACTTGTGCAAGACGCTGTAAAATTAATTGAATTAAATGCTACTTTTCTTATGGAACTTGGTATTGTCACCAAGGCATTTATTTCAACAAATCTTGCGTCACTATAGGATGAGTCTTCTAATCGAAAAATTGAACTAGAACCGAAATTGGTTAGAACCAATTAGTGGTATTCGGTCCGATTAACAGTTACCCGTTCAAACTTTAATTGGTTTTCGGTTATTTCAATTCCAATCCGGTTCTAGACCAGGATACATCCATACGTCAGGATACATCCATACGTCATTGTTCTTAAGCGTAGACTTGTTTTGGGTACCAAACCTCCTTCTGTTGCCAACAAGACACTTAGTTTTGTTGGATAGTAAATTCTTATTCCACTCTATTAGGTTTATTATCGGATACGAAATGCTTATTCCACTCGACTCTGTGAGTTTTAAAACTGGGTGAAGATTAAGAGACAAAATTAATAGATTATAAAGATAGGGCCCACATACCCACCCCACCTCCACCTATATCTCGTTCTCTCTCTCTCTCTCTCTCTATATATATATATATATATATATATATATATATATATATATATATATATATATATATATAAACACACAAACACGCACACGTCGTGATCTCATGGGGAAGAAAGCTTGGGATGCCATACATAAACACATACACACACACCTGAAACTGTTGTTGGAATATGCTTTATGCGGGAGCGACCAACATTGTCTACTAATCTAAATCTTTATATAGAAACATATAAACATACACCTACACTAATGAGAGACCCGTACTTTCGTATTTCAGAATGACCCAAACTTTCGTACTTGACAATATAGTTACTCCAAAACATACTACTTGCATATTCATAAAAACAATATTTTATATTGATAAAGAGGTTACAAACTACTAGATACAAATGACTATTACAAAGTATTATATATTACATAACTACCTAGGATATTGTAATTTATACAAACATAAACTAAAGTACAAAAGTACTATTACAAACTATTCTAAATCTTTCAACAGTATACGATCATACTGGTTACTTATCTCCTGCAATTGTTAAACATTGATAGGGTAAGCGGTGACACTTAGTGTCACAACTAGAAATTTTGTGTCTTGTAATCGCTACATTCAAGTAAAGGTTGAATCAAAAGCTTAAAAGCATGTGTGATACTTATTTAATGACATCAAAAACTTCAATCAAATACATCATGCAAGTGCTACAAATAGTCAACAACCAATTGGAAACCCTAGAAGTCCTCGTTTAAGTCCATTTTGGACTAGGACTTCCTTATTTGACCCAAATGGACCAATAACCTTCCAATTTGACTATCATGGGCTCTAATTGGACCCACATTAATTTATTTCAACATTTTGGGCCATATTGGGCCTAGAATGAAATAAATTAAAAGTTTTGAACCATGATTAACTTAAACTAGCCCAACCAAGTGTGAAGATCATATTATATTTCTTTTTGATCAAAACTCATCCAACTTAACTTCTATATGGGCTTGAGGGCTTTAAAGCCCAAATCTTTCCTTTTCCATCCAAATTCTCGGCCCAAGGCCCAAATCCAAGAAGTGAAGAGGAAGGGTTGACTAATGCATGCCACCTCTTTATTATATGGTGGTTATCCATGCATTACCCTCCAAACCTCCATGCCATCTCATTTCTCCATGCAACTCTATCTCTCTCCTTCCCTCTTCTTGTTCGGCCGTGAGTAACACACACACACACACCTCACAAACTCTCTCTGGATTACTTAAGAAATCCTCCTTCCTCTCCACACAAAAATCTCGAAAATTAGGAGGCTTTCAAGAGGATATTTCCACAAACTCTTCATCTAAGGTAAGGTTATGCTTGGATCTATGACTTAGATTCTTTGTTTTATCAAAACCTCTTCCTAATCCATGCAAAAATCGTGATCTTGCATCCTAGAAAACTCCATAAACTCGAAAACTTCATCAAGGGGGCTAGGGTCAAAAATCACCAAGCTTTCTTCCATCCTTCTTCAAAAACCGAATCAACATCCAAAGGTGAGCTTCATACCCCCTTGTTTTCGGTTTTTATAAGTTTTGTGGGGGAGAATACAAGCAAAGGTGTAGATCTATCATTATGTGTATGCTTTGTATGATTTCTATGCTTATATGTGTGTTTTGTATGATTATGATGTTAGATCTAGTCATGAATCACTAAAAACCGAGATATATTTTATGTTAAATGATACTAGCATAAAATATACTACTACATACAAAGTATACCAAGGAAAATAGCTAACTGGCTTAACAACACTTACTTTGGGCTAAAAACTCATTTTTTTGACATAAAATGTTAAAAATACAAAGTTGACGGGCCTAAAATGAAATATTTCGAAATCTGATGAGTGAGATGAGTCAAAACAGTTTCCATAATGTATTTTCTGAAAATATACTCTTTTGGAGGATTAAAAACATAAATTTCAAGCTTAATGGGCTAAAAATGACAATTTCGGCCCAATAGGGCCCATTATGCGAAATTTTTTGTTTTGGAGGGCCAAAACTGTGTTTTTCTGTAAAACAGTGGACTACTAATGTTACAAGTACTTTTCAAAGGTTTAAAATGCTTTTCAAATTTAAAAAGGACCAAAGTTGCAAAAAATTTCCAATTGGGGCCAAAATTGTAAAAACTGCGAAAAAGAGGGGTTATAAATGAGAAAATTGCAATTTCAGGGACTTAAACTGTTTTCAACGAAAAATATGCTGAAAAATATTAATTTCAATAATTTTTGGTGTTAAAATGTCAAGAAAAATAGTTTAAGGACTAAACCGGAAATTAATTTACCTAAAGGGGTGAAAAAGTAAATTTACAAAATAAAGAGGGGTTGTAAACAGAAAATTTTCAATGATAATTCAATACACTCGTTGTGAACAAAGACTGACACTACGACTCTTGATGAATTACAATATACAATGTCACCAACAATCGTTATCAAACGAATTGATTCGGTCTCGAATCAATAACAAATCCAAAACTACTAACACTACAACGCTCAATACACATATGGAACTCTTGGAACTCTATACTCTCATGGAAATTACTCAATACGTCGACGTACGCTCCTTAGGACCAAAAGTTGCAAATCATGCTTGTTGAGCCTAGCTAGCCCAATGACATGGTCTTTAGGCCCAAAGGATACTTGCTTACATGTAGTTGGGTCTAATACGACTAAACCGCATGTAAAAGGACTTTCAATGGCAAACGTGCTGCTGGTCCCCAAGGGTCCTTCGGTGCTGCTAGTAAAGTCGGGAACTCACGATTGCGGGATGGGCTTCGGGCCCTTCGCAATTGCAATGGTCTTGAACGACGTAGGGAAATAC